TGATGCAAACTATCAGTTTATATACGCGCATGTAGGATGTCAAGGTCAAATATCTGACGGAGGCGTTCTCAACGCGACTCCTTTTTCGTCCTTACTATACGAAAATAAACTTTCAATTCCTACTCCAGAACCACTTCCAGGACGAGTAACTTCCACACCATATCGTCGGCTTTATGACGAAAAGGCGTATCTCGATTTTTGCTACTTTTCAGGAGAGCAGTTTAAAAAAAATCACTTACTTTATTTGCCCAATAAATGTAAAGTCTTTAATTTTTTAATAGTGTTTTTGTATTAACACTTAAACGGAGACATTGAGGAAACGTTCTGAAGATAAATTAACCGTAAATTCTAATAAATAATTTATTTTTAGTTGTTTAATAGAGATAGGCCTTTTTGTTATAATAATAATAAATTTAATCCGGAAGAATAGTATACATACGCCCATGTAAAATAAATTTAAAAATGATGGTAAAGTGTTCTCAATAAGGAAAAAAAATAATACAATATTCACATTATGGAATTACATACAAGAAAATACAATACATACATACAATAAATCTGAAGATCACCAAAAAATCAGAAACAAATATTTTTAAGTACTTTTATTCACGTTGGATTAGATCAACTGAAAACAAAGACAATTTTCATTCCAGAAGCAAAGACAATAATAATCAATTAAAATACTCTTATCTAGCTTATTTTAATAATATTGTTTTTCATACAAAAATATATTTTTTAACTAATATATTTTTAGTAATTATTTAGTTAATTGAAGCATTAATACAAGGCATTTAAACTCACGGTCCATTTAATAAAAACCAAACTAAACAAAAACAAAACATGTTTCTTCATTCGTGCCTTTTTGATACAAATAACTGTGGAGTAACAGTTTCTGTTTTTCCTGTTCAATGATAACAAATTTGACTTCCATTCTACGTTTTTATGCTGGATGATGATAGGCACAATAAATAAAATTTTCTAAAAATTGGCAGGTATAACAATGCCAATGGCCTGACAATGATAATGAAATGAAAATTATTGTATTTTTCGGACAAGCTGTTGGACGCTAAAATGTTCTTAGGGAAATTATGATTTTGGGAAATTTTCCATCAGGGCAATTTTCGTTTCGTTGTTTTGCTTTCGATCAATTTTTCTTCGGCCATTTATTCTCGGACAATCTTTTGCATACCCGATACAGCTATGTGCAGAGTCTAGCTCATTCTAACAATGGTTTTTGGCAAAAAAACAGACTCAAAATCACACTGTAAAAGAGAGCTGCTGCCATGATAGAAGTTTTATTTTGTCCCAAGCAACCATCAGAAAATAATTAGGTAGAATGATGTGATTTTCTCTCGCAGGCATTTTCATAACTTAAAACAAAAGGACCTATCTCAAATTCCATCTTTCTTGTAGTATAACAATTGGTATAACAATCGATATAACAAAGAGCCCTATCTCAACATACGTCTCGTCGTCATAACGAAGAATTGTAGTATCTGAGATGGGGCAAATTTTTAAACGAATATAAAATGAAAAAAGTACAACATTGGGCATGTCATGACGTTGATATCTCAAAATCGCCAAAAATCGAGAAACGCCTTTTCGTCATAAAGCCGACGATATGTTATAGTAGCGGACGATATAAAAAATATAAACATCATCGTATTAACACCATTTGCTCTTTTTCTTAGCAGACTGTCCACTAAGTGCGATACAAGTCTTGTAGTTTTTGTGAGCGCCTTATGTTTACGATGAAACTGTGTGCGAAGGTTCTTGATTTTTTTCTTTAAATTTCCAATATCGCTTCCATATTTTTCGCTTAAAGTTTTAAAAATATTACAGCAAGGTCGCATGCGTCAATGGCAACAGATGGCAACATGTATACGACAACGTCGCATGCTACATGTTGCCAATTGTTGTCTTGGTGTAAGGCCGGCTCAAGTCTTCTAATTCCTTAATTTTAAAATTGTAACTTGTAATTATAAATAAAATATTGTTTTATTTATGTTGCTTTATTACTCTAATTCCTGTGTAGGTATATTAAAACATTTGGTATTTGTACATACATTATATTGATAAATGTAGGAAGTTTATTGAAGTTGTTTCTTGGTCAATTATTGCTTTTTCATATTATCCCTATAATATTTTAGAGAAATAATTTCCTCCTTACTGAAATTTTGAATTTAATATAATTATTTCTATTTAGAATTAAAATAACAGACACCTTTATCACTATCAAGGATATTCTCATTGGACAGACTATATGTATACAGTTCATACCAAATAAACATTTAGTCACGTGATTAAGCTTGACCGGTACAGCGTTGCCCACTTTTATATATTTTCTTTTAATCAAAATATTTCCCGTTCAAAATATTCTAATAAAGTTGCGATGAGTTTTTTACGGCTATTAAGCTATCTTGTACACTTCGCACTAAAAGAGGTTCTAAAAAGAACAATGTTCGACTGCAAGGTCTGCTAGTAAACATTTTCCAAGCTTAAAGTATCACAACACTATTTATTTAAACCAAAAACTCGTAATACAAAACTGGAGGGTCAAAACGAATGACAATGTCAGGAAGTAAATAGATAAATGCGGCAACTTGACATTTTTTACAGCAGAGCTACCACCTGGGATTCAGTGCGAAATATGAATTCCAGTTAGTCAGCACGGCGCCGAATATGTCCATGGTTGCCAACAATAAATTTAATCATCGCGGCCTCGATTATGTAACTAAAAGTTTAACTGATATGAAATATATGATATACGATCTACAATATCTATAATTCTTAAGCCCCATACTCACACTTCGCTACTTCACTTCGTTCCTTCCTCGCGTCCCTTCGTCCAAAAATCATATATTTACTATGGGAAATTGTCGATTTATGCGACTGTGTGTTCCTTCGTTCCTTCGTCAAAACGCTCCTTCGTCCGTTTACTTCCTCGAAACGCTCCTTCCCCGTCTGTCGGTTTTTGGAGGAAGTAGCAAAGGAATTATCACGAACACAAAAAATATTAAAATATATAAATCGATCTTGGATTTCATTCGTAGTTGATTTCTTGATTTGGCAGTACGTCTGTACAGGGTGTCCCATTTTCGTGTGTTTTGCAGGGATTCTCGTTTATAAGTCGAGCTACAAAGATGCGGTTTTCACATTACGATGTTACTTTTTTATGAAACTAAAGATGCTACATACAGATATGTCCTAGCTCTGTTGCTTTCTAATATACAGGGCGAATCTCAAATTATTGCATTTTTCGATTCCCTTTGTATCTCGATTATCTTATAACTTATCGATAAGGTGAAAACGGTGTCCCGTACAGTTTTTCACGTAGAATGCAGTGACGTAACTAGTTCTTCGGCAGAATATGTCGATATTTTGCGATATTTTGTATATTATTTTATTTTCCTTGTTACGGGCTTTCTAAAATACTTACATATTTTCATAAACGGGGTAAAAATGCATTATTTAACTTTATTACATAGTCGGCCGGTTTAAATTAGGTAATCAAAACAATCAACTAATTTATTCGACGTAAAATGTGGGTTATTGGCTATTCCACGCTAATTTTTATGTATAGTTATAATATAACTCTAAAATAAGAGCCGTTTAGCAGTACCTAAATAAATAAGTATACCTAGAGTATAGATATTATAATTTTAGAAAGCTCATAACAAGGCAAATAAAATAAAAAATAATATATAGATTGTCCTGTTTAAAAAAAAGAACATAAGTTTGAGTCATTTTTCGAAACATACAGCTTCATCAACGAAGAACTAGTTTCGTCACTGCATGGTGGGTAAGTACTCAATAGGTAGAAAAAACAAAATTAGGGTATCCGGTATATACCTGTACATTTAGATGAACAGTCTAATTTTATAAAAGGTATTTCCAATGACCGCATAGTAAATATCCGGTATAATACCAGAAATATACAAGTAATATCAGGTATATATCTACAATATTCCTAATATATATTGGTATATTTCTGTTCCCGGTATTATACCGGGTATTTACTATGCGGTCGTCGGAAATACCTTTTATAAAATTAGGATGTTCATCTAAATGTACAGGTATATACATATATACTCAGATTTTATTTATCTACAAATTGGGTACTTACCCACCGCCCATCACTAACCCTTTTCACCTTTTTGATAAGTTATAAAATTATCGAGATACAAAGGTTATCGTACAATGCAAAAATGTCTACTAATTAAAAAATAAAAAGTATAAAAGAAAGAAATAAGAAATAAATTTGAACTAAGGAGGCTAGGATAAATCTGTGTGTAGCATATTTAGTTTCATAATAAGTAGAACAATGATGTAAAAACGGCATCTTTATATCTCTACTCATAAACCAGAAACCCCATAAAACACACAAAATGGGACACCCTGTACATCTAGCAATCGCCAGTCGATATAAAAATAGATATCACACACAATAGTCTTAAGAATGGAAGGAAAAGACAATATTGTCTTCATATTTGTGAAGAAATAGATGTCCATATTTATGTAATCGTAGCGACAAAGATAAAAAAATAGAAATAGTGTGATACCTTTACAAAAATATCTGAAGAAATGGGGATTGACATCAACGTTAAATTAGTATGTCATATTTTATAGTTTCGATATAAATGACATAATAAACTTTACTCTATTGTTGACTGGCCTTGTACATTCATACTGATATACCTTGTACAAGATACTGAAATATTCGGATTTATTAAAAAAAATTATATTATTAAAATTCAATTTTTATTTTTGACACGACAAAGAATTGCCGTTTTATAATAAAAATTTTAGAGATTACTAGATATTTCGTAATAAACATGTAGCTCTGCTATATTAAAAATATTTTGTGGTGTGTTGTTGCATAATCGACTATTTTCCAAGCATCGAATGGACGAAGGAAGGAAGCGAAGGGACGAAGTAATGCGAGGAAGGGACGAAGGAGCGAAGTGTGAGTATGGGGCTTTACACAACAATAAACTTACCTGGAATCAATATGATTATTATCAAGGTGATATTCTAAGCCGTGTTTTGTTAAGTAATCTTTGCCACAATGCACACAAGGGAACAACTGTCGTTCTTCTCGTGCCAAGTGAAGCGCCTTATGCCGACGAAAATGTTTTGTTGTCGTTTCGTAGCCACATACGGTACACCTACAGATCTTCCTTCGATGTTTCTTCGATTCCTTACCCCTAATAAAATAATAATTTAAATATTACAGTCTTGTAACTCTACAAATCAAGGTTCCTCAAACGTAAAGGGTTTTCCATTAGAAGCGCTAGGTTTTTGTAACGCAATAAAACAAATTGTGACAATGATATTGATCAATTTTTATTATTTTCTATAAAATACATATGTTAACATTATGTTTTAAAATTTTTATTAGGTAAATGTCCGCCGCGGCTTTTATTATTTTATCTATATTATCCATTGTTTCTAATATACAGAGTTGTTCACCACATACGACGCGGAGTATTGTAGCTAAACCACAAATTACTTATAACAGATGCGAAAGAACACCGAATTACGCGTTCAGGTTTCTGTGACCTTCAGAAAGAGTTCATAGACAATCCGCATCAATGTATAGTTTGGGTTATTATTTGTTTGGGTGAAAATAATCTGCACCAATATGTTATTGAGGCATACAAAAAGGTCCACAGACTTCGAGACATACGAAAAATCAAGTCCATTTAGCGTGTGTCGCAATTTTCACACCTTAAAAAATTAGTTTTTTTATAGCTATAGCAACTGCAGCGACTATGAAAAAAGCTGTGTGATTTTCATAGAAAATAAGGGCACCTGTAATTCATTTGAGAATGTTATAAATCGCTAAAAGAGGTTTCAAATCTCTTGGATTTCTATTAATATTAAATAAATTTTATTAAAAATTGAACTAAAATTGTTAGTATCATTAAAAACAATTCAAATTCAATAATTGTATCAGTCAAATTCCCTCATTTAAGGTAAATATTAAAGTAAATATAAATACAGCTCATTCTAAGCTCTACTTATCTTTAAGAAAAATTTAAATCATTGTTGCAATTGGGGCTTAATGCCATTTCGAATGAACAATAGTATTAATAATGTACATTATAATAATAATAAATTTTATATCATAGTGTGTATTAAAACTACTAAAACACTTTTAAATTGGTATTATATTAACAACTTTTGTTTTTTAATCAAAAAAAAGTTACCAATTTTCTCAATCAAAATATTTGTGGTCCTGAAAAAGGACCCTTTGTTTTCCCATGTTCGTCAAGGTAGGTAATGGGTAAACGGTAAAAACAGGATAATGAAATTTAAAAATACAAAAATTGTTCAAAAGTGCCTCCCTCTTGCATTAAACAATAACCCAAACGATCATAAAATCCCCTCTTCACATTGGATAACATATCAGGGGTGACAGTGTCAAAGGCATTAAATATTTTCTGCCTTAACTGCTCCAAGTTTTGAATTTCTTCATGGCCGTAAATTTTAGATTTTATGTACCCTCATAAAAAGAAATAATTCACCGAGAAGTCAGGTGAAATTAAACGTCAGTCTAAACAAAACTGTCATTTTCGAAAACTTTGTCAAAATTTGGACACACGCTAAATGGACTTGATTTTCCTATGTCTCGAAGTCTGTGGACTTTTCTGTATAATCTCACAGTAATTTAATAGATTGCTCGTCATATTATATCAGCTCGTAGGAGATTAGGAAAAAAAAGATATTTATAGTATAAAAAATTAATTTATTTAACAAAATTTAATTAAAGATGTGACAAAATAGTTACATTTCTATTGGTTCTATCGGACTTTTTTCGACTATATAAATCTTTATTTATTGTAAACTTTAATGCATAAAATATTTTCAATCTAATAAATAATTTAATGATGTAAATAAGAGGAAATTTCTCACATGGGTTGTCAAATTCTATAGTTTTTATTATATCAAACAGCCTCTGAATGTTTTCTTCAGTGCAAAACTCATCAAAATTTAATATAAATAATTTTTCCAGCCTGTAAATAAAATGAACAAATTTTTCCACCTTCATGATCAAAGGCTTTTAAATGGGTAAATAATTTCGAGTTATCCAGAGATTCGGATTCTTTTGCAAATTTTAGACAAATATCACATTGATGTATTTGAAGACCCTTTTTAATGATGTAGTCAAACATAATTAAGGGCATTTTGAGTTGAAAACATTTCTCAGAGGCTGTTTGATATAATGAAAACTATAAAGTTTAATCCACCCATGTGAGAAATTTCCTCTTATTTACATCATTAAATGATTTATTAGATTGAAAATATTTGATGTATTAAAGTTTACAAATAAAGATTTATATAGTCGAAAAAAGTCCGATAGAACCAATAGAAAGGTAACTATTTTGTCACATTTTTAATTAAATTTTGTTAAATAAATTAATTTTTTATACTATAAATATCTTTTCTTTTCCTTATAAATAAACACGTTTACATCCCATTTTAAATAAGATATACAACTTACCAAAACTTAGAAATAACAGTTCAAAAGTTCAACAAAAATCCTACACGCGTTTTTAAAAAGAAACATATAACCACGCACTATGTCATTCCAGCAAGCGAATACGACACAGCATAGGTTTCCGGACTAAACGACTGGTGTATTTACACCACTCAATAGGCGTGTCGGGTTTGCCGAGCGGTTTCCGATGCAGTCGCTTTCTTTCGCATCTGTTGTAGTTAATTTGTGGCTAAACTCTTAGATTTTTGCAAATTGTAAGTTTTTTATATTTTATATTTTTACAAGATACAGAGTGGCCCAAATAAATAAAAAATATCAAAGTTGTATTTTTTTAAATGATACACCCTGTATATTATTACATTTTTAGTTTTTATGATTAAAATAAAGGTAAATTTGATTAAGGTTTACCGCATTTTAATCTTACCGTTTTTGAAATATTTAGGTTTTTGCCAAAATACAGTAATAATTTTAATGCTTTATTTCTCCAGGCGTATTTAAGTTTTTAAAACCAAATATTGTACTGAAGTATTTCTATTTACTAAATTTTGTGTTGCAATAATAAAAATGATGCTACCTTATACAGAGTGTCTAAAACTTTATTTTAAATAATAACTAGCTATAAACGGCAATAACTTCTTTAATTTAAATAGAACACCCTGTATATTTTATGATAATCAGCTGCACAATTTAATTGTCTATCAAATTGTATTATATCATTTTTTACCTATGGCTTCAGGTTTTCGTAGAAAATGCATTTTCTTATAATTTAGACCTCAATTATCAATATACCCATGGAATATTGACATTTTTGATTATTTTTAAAGATATAACTAATGTTTAAAGGATACAGATACTAATATTGTCGATATAGTTCATTTATGTTATTTATATTATTAGTTCATTAAAAAATATATTTTTTTAAATATTTGTAAGAGGACTAATTAATATGATTCCAGTATTCAAACTACATTAATTAACTGTTTGCTTTGATTAATAATAATTGCTCCAAATACTAAAAAACTTAATTTTGTATGTGTATTAGACAGTGTGGTAAAAAGTAACACCTTAAAAATTTTATTGCATTTTTTGCCGGATGCTTATTTATAACAACAGAGCCGTTAATTTTCATAACTTATTATATTGATTTCTGATTCCAAATCCATATTTATTTAGAATAATTTATTATCTAACACAATTAAATATGTAATTAATTAATATTTGGGCGGAAATAATGGTGGTATATTTAATTAATGGTATACTTTTTTATAAAGATTTAAATAGTTTTATTTTTGTAAACAAATAGGCTGGTAATATAATTGTTTTTAGCACCTGTGCATTGATTGCTTTAAAAACAATCTAAAATGTCAATATTCCATAGGTATATTGATAAATGAGGTCTAAATTATAAAAAAATGCATTTTCTACGAAAACTTGAAGGAATAGGTAAAAGTGGTATAATACAATTTGATGGACAATTAAATTGTGCATCTGATTCTCCTAAAATATACAGGGTGTTCCATTTAAATTAAACTAGTTACTGCCGTTTAAAGCTAGAAATTATTTAAAATGAATTTTTAGACACTCTGTATGAGATAGTATTATTTTTATTATTGCAACACAATAACTGATCAATAATTAAACTTCAGTAAATATTTAGTATTAAAAACTTTGATACCCTTGGAGAAATGAAGCCTTAAAATTTTTACTGAAATTTCATAAAATTCAAAATATTTCAAAAACGGTAAGGTTTAAGGGTGATAAAGCTTAATCAAATTTACCTTTATTTCAATCGTAGAAACTAAAAATGTAATAATATACAGGGTGTTCCATTTAAAAAAAATACAACTTTGATATTTTTTATTTATTTAGGACACTCTGTATCTTATAAAAATATTTTTAAATTGTAGCTTTAATAGTCTTTCAACGAATCCAAAACTTACAATTTGTAAAAATCTAATCGTTTAGCTACAATACTCCGTGTCGTATATGGTGAACAACCCTGTATATCAGTAACTTAAATGGAGAGAAGAAATAAACCAAGTTCAGTTCAGGTATAAACTAAATCCAGCATATGGAGATATCTTGGAGAAGACCAGAGTAAGAGGATTTATCACACAACTCTTATACGTAATTAATTTTAGTAACACAGAGATAAAAGAGGTAATACTTAATAATAATTAAAGCTAATTTAAGATAGTTAAGTCATTGTATTATTCTGTTATTACTAAAATAACAATCATCGTCATGTATTCATAAAGATAGTTTCTATTCTTTACCAATGCTAATAAGTATTGATTAGAATATACCTTCATTTAGATTTAGAAAAAAATAAATAGAAGACATAATACCGTATGATCGAAAAAAAAACGGCGTCCAGTTGGTTTGGAAATGATGAGGGGTTTGATTTTTAAATAGCACCCTCGGTATTTTTTTACTTATAGAAAATGACACTCTGAATAGAATGACTTATCATATGTCAACTTTTTGACATTTTCGCATATCGACGGTTGAAAGGAGAAACTGCTAATACGCCACTTTCGTAACTTTACAGAAGACCTGTTTGTCTGTTTTATTTTGAAACTCTGTCGCTTAAGGCATTATGTTTCTCATAATTTATTCAAAATTTAAAAAGTTTAATGCGCCAAACCATAGGATTATTAGGATGAAACCTAAGTAGATCGACGCAGAAAAATTTGCTGATTTCGATAACTCAATTTCCACAAAAGTGGCGTATTAGCCATTTCTCCTTTCCACCGTCGATATGGTTTATTTGAAATTGTAACATGCGGTTCACAACGATAATTTGACTCGAAATACCATGCAAGGGTGTGGTACCAAGTTATTCTGCTGTTTCCAAATATGCTAATGAACCACCCTCGTTCCATTTGAAAAAATTCAGATATGATTAAAGATACGATTTGGGCATTTTTTAACCGGCCAAGACAGGACACGAAAAACATTAGAAGATCAAATCTATTTTTCCAAGGTTTCTTGATTAAAAATTAGTGTTGACTCTAGATTGAAATTTAAAATACGATTTTTTAAGCAAAAACATCAAAAGTTGACATATGATATGCCTTATATTCAGAGTGTCATTTTCTATCAAATAAAGTAAAAAAAAATAAGTAAACTTAAAAGTTGTTTTTTTCCGGTGAAACAGGAAGTGACCGAAAATAACTCAATACGTCAATCAATCCTAATTTATGTCATATACTAAAATACCAGATCTCGTTTTTTTCTCTGAAAAATAAAAAAAATTATAAGGGTGTGCCACTTTTAAGACGCACCCGGTATGTAGATGCCCGAGGCACTATCGCCGGACCCCGTAAACCAATAACGAATGTTTGCCAAGTACACGAGCCATCTGACCCCGGCTTTAAAGGTAAGTAAAATCGTCTGTATACTAATTTTTATATGAAATATTAACAGATATAAATTACGTCACAGAACATTTTCGAGGAAATCATATTGAAAATGTGAATTTGCTTGGTCTAGGTATCAATCATTTTTTTTTATAATTAATCAATCTGTTTTGATTCACCAAACAATCTTTTTCATACAATTAAGTTTTGGACAATAAAACTTCTTTCGCACGATAAATATACTTAATCTGTATGTTAGGTTTATATGGTTTTGATAATTATATTTCGTTGGCGTAATTTAAAAATGACGATTTTAACAATTTTGAAACATTTGCAGGAACAGATAGGTATAACAGATAGAACAGATGCAGCCACATATGATACATAGCATATTGGTAGGATCATAGAGACATTAGGTGTTGATTTGTATAAAATGAAGTTTCTCAAAAGAGACCTTGATGATTATGTATGGCAAAAAGAGGATGTACAAATAATTGGAAAGAAATATATTTTCTATGGTCCTATTAATCTGCAAGGTCCATTTCATATTACAGGCAAGATAAGATAAATATTGAAAATAGATTTAAGATCTTAAAAAAGAATGGAACCATTTAAATTCATCTTTTAATTATACACTTTTTATATGTCCATACAATGTTTTAAATCATATATTATATAAACATTTACAACTATTTGATAATTTGTATTTCTGTGTTATGTCAGATAACTACCTATATTAACAGATGATATTAAATACTAACAAGATTAAAATTTGTTTTTGCTTAAATTATATCAGTATACCGGGTGCGAAAAAATAAAGAAGTTATAAGGGTGAGCCATCACCCTTATAACTTCTTTATTTTTTCAGATAAAAAAACGAGATTTGGTATGTTAGTATATGACATAAATTAGGACTGATTGACGTATTCAATTGTTTTTTGACACTTCCTGTTTCACCGGAAATGACTACAACTTTTGATTTTTAAATGGCACCCTCGGTATTTTTTTTACTTTATTCGATAGAAAAGGACATTCTGAATAGAATGACATATCATATATCAACTTTTGACACTCTCGCCTAATAAAAAATCGTATTTTACAATTCAATGTAGAGTACTATGGCTATGTTAAAAACACTAATTCTTAATCAAGGAGCCTTGGAAAAATAGATTTGATCGTCTAATGTTTTTAGTGTCTTGTCATGGCCAGTTAGAAAATGCTCAAATCGTATTTTTAATCATATCTCAATTTTTTCAAATGGAACAAGGGTGGCTCATTAGCATATTTGGAAAAAGATTTTTTTTTATGAATAGTTTGATACCATACACTTGGTATTTCAAGTCAAATTTTCGTTACGAACCGCAAGTGTTATTTTCTATCGAATAAAGTAAAAAAAAATACCGAGGGTGCCATTTAAAAATCAAAAGTTGTAGCCATTTCCGGTGAAACAGGAAGTGACCGAAATCAATTGAATACGTCAATCAATCCTAATTTATGTCATATACTAATATACCAAATCTCGTTTTTTTAACTAAAAAATTAGGGAAGTTATAGGGGTGAGCCACTTTTGAGACGCACCCGGTACACTAACAAAAACGGAAACTTTAGTACGTACCAAAAATCCTTCACACTCACCCGCAATTATGTGCAATCGCATGCAATCATTCAAAATCATTTACAATTATTATGCAATCAAAATACAATCCTTTACATTCTGGCAATCGCGTCGCAATCGCTGGGTTGTACTTGCATAATTTAAACATTACATGTACCTGTACATTATGAAAAAAATAATTTTAAAAAATCCAAAATATTCATTTTTGGTTCGGCCGTCCGCCGCTCGCGGGAATCTTGGACAAAGCTTAACTCAAATAGCCAAGACTCTGGATAATTATTAGATTTTACTGTAATATGTAATGTTATATTTTACATATTATATTTTCTTGTACTACCTTGAATTATCACTCGTTCCAGAAGCAATTTGTGAAGTTAAATCTTGCTTGGAATTATCCATTGGTTTTACAGTAACATTTATCTTTTGTCTTTTTTTCTTTTCTGGGATTAAAAATTTAGACTGTTTCTCTTCGTTATGCATTAATATTGTAGCAGAGATTGTAGGGCCATTTACTTTCTTTCCATCCACAAAATGGCAAGTAGGTACATAAATATGCTCCAGGTCCTGGTTCTATAGCCCTAAAATTATATATAGAAACATAAAATAATAAATATTATAGAAGTAGATTAAGGTTAAACAAGCTCAGTATTTATTTAAGTTTATTTAGTTAATTTTAACTTTTTGCAGGAATATCCTACCTTGTGAGTTTTATCCAATTTTTCCTTGTTTTGGTATCCTTTTTAGGAAATCTATAAAATTTACAACTCTCTTTAACATTGTAATGGTTACATTTGTGGCTTACATCCTGGTGCCCAGCACTTTACCATCGTTATATGAAACAAAACCGATAAAATTTATACTAAAATACGTTTTTATTTAACAAAAACTGCTAAAAGAACGTTAATTTCAATGATAAAAGTAAGGTTATGTAAAATTATTGTTTTTCATATACCGTATGATTCAGGGTTCGGAAAACTACATGTTACTTTTAAAAACTACATAAACTACATTACATGTAGTTAATGTAGTTTATGTAAGAGGGTGTAGTTTATGTAACCTATGTATGTAAATTTCAAATAGCAAAGGTTTGAGGTGAGTTTATAACAAGTTGAAGCTTTAAAAACATATAATGTATTTAAGAAAACAGAAGAAGTATGGCTTTAAATATAATATTTACATCATATTATCTCTATTACACCTCATACAAAGGAAAATTATTCATAATATCAATACATAGTTTATTAACGTAGTTTTCATGTAGTTAATGAACGGAAAAAAAGGTAGTTTTTGAGGATAAACTACACGTAGTTAATCAGGTAAATTACGTCTTAATTAACTACTTCCGAACCCTGCGTATGATCGAAAAAAACGGCGTCCAGACAAATTGGCTTGGAAATGAACATCGTTGACATTCCCCATATAATTTTACATATAAAATGACAGCGATCTTCATTTCATAGCCATCGCTGACGCCGTTTCTATTCGATCCTTTATTCGATCATACCAAAGGATCATATACGGTATTTCAAGTTAGTAACACAGAATATACATGGTTAATAACTTGTTAATAACTGATTTTCCCCCTTGATATAAATATATGTTCTAATTATTACCAGGATACATACATTCAAATAGAAATATTCAATCAATCCTAAAAGAATACACAAAAATCTCTTAAACTTGTTTTTTGTGTAGATACAACAAACAAGGATACAACGGATACAGCCCATGATACAGCCAAGATACAGTACATGGATACAGCAGCGCCAAAAGCCAGGTTTCCATTGTTCCCAACTCTCGAAGTCGACATATCGACAATTCGAAGTCCGATATCTGCTATCCGCTATCTGTCCGCTATCCGCTAGATTGTGTGCCGCCAGATTCGTTAATTTTAATCTGCTAGAATTCGCCGAATGCGCTAGGAGAAATATACTGAAATTTTGTTTTTATCCTCCAACCCAAGCAGCAACTGAAATTCCTTAATATATCTGGGGCTTGATTCTGTAATAATGAATAAAGAATAAAATTTATCCTTTATTCAATGTTCTCTAAACATATTTCGGTATACCCATATTTCCTGTCTAATAACTCATTTAATCGTATACAAACAACATAGACTAGACAGGAGATTTCTTGCTGCGGAACTTACAGAATCCCACTGCTGAGCACCTGAGTAGAAGTGAGTACTTTATCAAGGTCCATAAATTGAATTATAGACCTTTTTCTAGGACTTCTTTTTAGAAAGTAATTATTAATATTTATTTATTACACAACACGACAACACACATCCACTCTGTCGCTTTATTTTGTGCGCTTGGGAAAATACTTGCCCTTCCCTCTTTGTTCAGTAAATCTTATTGTACTGAATTCTTCAATTGTACTCTTAAGTACATACGAAAATCGGCGCCCAACCGGCCCAACGGTTGTCTCTGATGTTGAACAAGATACCACTGAGATATAGAAGGTGCCAAAAAAATTATCTAATTAATTAGATATTAGTACATTATCTGAGAACCGGCAACATCGCGACACAACAATTTCAAAAACGCGCGTGGTGGGCTGAATAAGAATACTAAAGCCCCGTTCTCAGAACTGCGACTGTCGCCAGCGACACGACAAAAGAACCAATCAGATTTGTACAAAATTCAAACAGCTGTCAATTTTAAATTTAGTACAGCTCCCATTGGTCGTTTGAAGTGTCAATCAGTGTCGCTGTCGACACGACGTTGTTCTGAGAACGGGGCTTAAGGAAGGAGCATAATCACAGAGCATAATGCTATCCATGTATTTATGCATGGTGGGCGGAAAAGCCACCATAAAAGCTCTCTAGGGTGGGGATCCTTGACAGTTCTGTTTGACCATTCATTTGACACATTTGAATTTGATTTGAAATTTTGTGGATTTGTCAGTCTTTACGGAGCTTATTTTATGTTATTTATTATTTATTCTACTACTGATAGTTGTATAAAGGTAGTAAATCTAGATGGAAATTGTGGCGGAACTTAAATTAACAGTGACACTATCGCGATTTATCGAAAAAGACTCTAAAATAGTTGGTTGTGTAGCGTGCGGTAGATCTCGGCAAAAAATTGAGTGAAATAATGGAACAACTTTTCGCTAGTAAGTGACTATATAATATACATACGTGTAGTAAACCGATCATTTATGAAATTCACTTAAATTAACTAAATTATATATTTTTCTTGCATTTTAGCTTTTATTTATTACTTGTCAAAGATTAGATGTCAAAGAATTTAGATACGTTAATTTGACTTACCTGCTTCAGTAGCGTATCGGATGTTTGTGTTAATAAATACTTATTATAACTTATCTATTTTTATTAGAATTATATATTTTTATAACAATTTTAGTAACTACCAACTACCAACATTTATTCACAACGTAAAATAAAACAAAAAATTATTGAGTCTACCCCACGTCTACCCTACATCATAGTTTTATATTTTTTAAATAAAATTAGAACGACACTGATAAACCGGAATTTAAGTCGGCCATATTTGAGGCCCATCGCGGTGTACCTAAGATTTTTGATATGCTCCTTCCTTAGTCTTCTTATTCAAAGATACGGGCCTAACAGAATAGTCATCCCAGAGATATAGAGGTAGGTAGCTGCGTCACACCATCGCCAACAATTTTTAGATTTAGTAGTAAAGTAGATAAATGTTCACATAGGTTTTTAGCAAAGTCGAATTTCTACCCAAAACATTGTAATATTCTTAATTTTATAACTGATTTTAATTTATTTTTCCCCTTTATCAACCACAGAAAATAAGAATTTTTATATATGATTCAAGATTCTACCAAGCAACAACTATTTACCGGTTGTCCAAACGAAATGGACTAGGGATATAATCGAAATGTCTTAGTTTACAAAACAAAGACAAAAGAGTGGGGATAGCGTTAAAAAATGTAAAACGTCATTTTGATATTTAAATCGCACTGAAAATCTTTAAAATAGTGAAGACTAAATTTTCTAATCAATTATATTTGATACTGTAAAGTTTAGAGTATATAAACTATTGTTTTCGTAATGTCTGAGAACGTAAGTTTTTTGAATAGTTTTCTTTGGTGAAGGTTAGAATGTTGATCAGGTTAATCTTTATGTAACTTATTTTAAGGGCGATTATGGTTTATACCAATCTAGGAATTTAGATCCTAATGCTGGAGATCCCGAACCCTTTGTGAAAATATTTCCTAATGATTCGCACATATCCCGTCCTATGTCCATTATGTCCAATCATTCAATTTCTACTGAATACAAAATATCTTTCCCCCCTTCAATGGTATATTTTGTTATTTATTTTTATCTCAATTTCTATTATATGTCTAATTATTTTATATTTTTATATATTTATTTCACAGGATACACAAATTAGAAAGCTTCGGCTTTCCATGGAGCCATGGCGGGAAGTTATCTTACAAATTAATAGTATTCTTTTATGGGAAAAGCAGTGGCATTCAACAGCTCTTCTGGCAGGTATGTTTATTGTTATATCTATTTATGTATATATTTTTTTATCATTGCATATATTACAGGCACAAGTTTCCTTTTTACACTACTATGGATTTCTAATCCAAATGTCTTAACTGTTGTGTCATTAATTGGTCTTATAGCTACAGTTTCTGATTATTTATTACCTACAGTTTTGTCTGCTATTTTTAAATCAGATACTTGGTCTCCAGAGAAGCAAAAACAATATGAGGAAATTTGTACAAATATTGTTTTATATAAAACCAAGACAGAGTTACTTATATCTTCTTATAGCAGAATGAGAGTTACTAATCCCAAAGTGGTATGAACGGAATTTTACTGAACTTTAAGCAGATTACTATTAATTCGTTTATTTTAGTATTTCAGCGTTACAATTTTTGTATTGTGCTTTTTGACATGGCTTGGCGGGACAATTGATAATTTGTTTTTAACTTTCCTTTTCATAACATTTCTTATTATGTTGCCTGGAATGTTACATCATGGAATGCTTGTAAGATTTACTGACACTTTTACAAAATTATTTAATGACTTAGTTGAAAATGCAAAATCGAAAGTGGTTCAAAAGAAGATTCAGTGATGCGTATTGAGCTTCTAAGAAAGATTGTATAAGTTTTATGTTTGATTTTAAAGCATTAATACTATTTATTTATATTTTTTCTGTTTCTTTAGTCCATTTTTATTCTACCGTTCATATTATATAGAAAATTACTGATGTAATATGTGTAGTTCTTTAATTATGTTGTTTGTTCTAATACAAATTATGAGGTGATATTTATGGTTAGACTGATAATTATAGTATTTTAAGTAGTTTTGTACCAGTGTGTGAATAAAAGAGATTTTATAACAGAATGATTTTTATTAATAAACTTTATTGATATAATTTTAATATGCTAATATCCATCTTTGAAATCCTCCTCATATTCACTTTCAGTTGTTTCTTTCTGGTGTTGATCACAGTCAATACCCAAGACTTCACTGACAAAGAAGTCTGCATTAATTTTCTAGTGCAGAATTAAAAAAGCAATATTACTTTTAATAGTTTTAAGGTACGTCCATAGTGCACCGGCTTCTAGCTTTATCGCGGCAGACTTGCGGTGAAAAATAGAGGAACGTATACGCGTGAAATTTTGAGGGTAGAAGTTACTATAAGTGTTACATATTTTAATGCTAAAAAAGTGTTGATAAGTTCTTCAGGGACGTGCATATGGGTTGTCACTGGAATATTTTTCAAAAAAACACGTGCGCCACTGACTTCCTTTTGATAAAATGATGTAGACCGTTTACTGTTAATTAAAAGTTATCTCTTGATATTTTGTCGAATTCGGCCCCCTTGATGAGATAAACGCAATTTTATTAATCATAATTAATAACATTAAAATAAATTTATTATAATTTTGCTAATATCTTCGGTTTGAAAGAAGATATCAAGATGCAGTTTTCGCTGACTTTTTAATCTGTACTACTCTTTACTATCAGCTAAAATTACATATACTATTGAATTTAATTTTTTTGAAAAATACGCGCTATGTTTGTTAAATTGTAAGAAAGCGCCCCCTAGCGTCTACGTTTAAAACTTTATTAGTATTATTTTTATGGTATAATATAGAGTAGGAAACGCTTTTTTAAACGAGCCCTCGTTTGTTGGATTCTGGTCATCCAGTCCGGAGTTATTCACATTTAAATAAAGACAGATCTAACCTTTCCCCACCACTTTATTTAGCAGATAGGGGATAGGGCAGATAAGGGATTTAGCAGATAGGGGAAAATGATTCTAACAAAAAAAAATCCAAAATTTACTGAAGATTATGAAGCTATTATTTATAGTACCCATTATCTAGGCAAAATTCCGTAAAAATTCTATTTTCTTATTTTCCATAGCAGTTGCGCCCTCTAGCGGCTGTTTTACAAACTTGAAAATAATTTCCAGCAATTTCCCATAGCCATTTTAGTCATTAAATATTTTTTTTCGTATGCCCTACGGCTAATACTTTCCGAGATACAGCCGAGAGCTATTCTTAGTGGGACACCCTGTACATAACTACTAATTTGGAGACTTTTTTCTTTGCTGGCTCTCCGTCTATTATCGGCGCAGATTCACAAAGCGATAAAGACCTGCCGCGAAATAAGCCGGCCACCAGAAGGTGAAAAGCCGGTGCACTATGGCCGTACCTTTACATCGAGTTACCTGGGGTAAGAAATTGAAGTCAGTGGTAGAAGCGGTGGTTGCTCTTAATAACGTAGTAAGATATTTGTGTAAATGAGGGATGGGTTCACCTAAAAAAAGACAACTTTAGAAAAGACACACAGGGTGATCCGAATTATATTCGAAAAGAATTGGTTAGCATATTCTGTAGATAAAAAAAAATCCTGTAAATGTATGTCTTAAAGAGATTCGATACAGGGTGTGAAATTTAATTCATTTTTATTTTGATTTTTTTCAAATAATTTCTGAACTAAGGTCGATATTTGGATAAAAATTGGTGTTCGAGTGCTTTTTGACATGAGAAATTTTATGCCGATGTCAATATGATTTCTACTATTTCTACTTTTAAGGGGCGCCACCTACACAAGTTTTTGAACTGTTTTGAAGAGTAACAATTTTTCGTGCGTACCTGTATTAAACACTAAGTGAAAAAATATACATTTGCGCCGTTTTTTAGAAAAAAAAGTTATCTTAATAAAAAGGGCTACAAGTAATGGTTTTCAAGATATTTGGAATCGAAATAATCAATATACCGTACGATCGAAAAAAAAAAGGTGTGGTTTGGTTTGGTTTGGCTATCGAGCCAACTGGACGCCGTTTTTTTCGACCATATCGTATTAGTCATTATTGACAAAAATTAAACATGTTTACTCGATATACTTAGTAGATTGAAATAATAAATCTAGAGTTTTTTGTGGCAAAGTTTCAACAGAAACTGTTTTATCATCATTTTTCTAGAAACATTTATGATTAATTAAAAAAAAAATAAGTTCCCAAATTTATAATTTCAGTCAAGTAACTGTCTAGTCAACATGTTTATTTTTTGTCAATAATGACATGTATTGATATAATTTCCATCTTGAGAAGGGTTGCTCGTAGGGATTTTTACCAAGAGACTTATTTAAGTAAAAAACGACGGAAATCTATATTTTTTTCCCTCAGAACTCAGTTTTCAACTTCAAAACAGTTAAAAATATATAGAAGTCATATTGACATCAAAATCAAATTTCATATGTAAAAAAACACCAATTTTCATCCAAATATCTACAGGGTGGCGCACCTCATTCGCCTCGGTTGATTATACGAAAACGGAAAGATGTAGGAACAAAATATTTTATGGGTATATGTAGAGAGACAATGTGCATAATTTAAAATTATTTTGAAATATACAGGGTGTGTCAGAACTAAGATCCATACCAAAGTTATAGATTTTTTTATGGAACACCCGGTATTTTATTTAATTTTTGGAGCCTTGAACATAAAATCAGGCATTTATTATAAGGGTTTAATATGTCTAAAAGCTTTGGTTTTTTAGATATTTAAAGATATTTAAATATGCATGCTATAATAAAAAGATTTGTCAATACCTTGTACATTACTTTTCAGAATTAATTCTGGTGCTGACTTTCAAGCCAGAGAAATAAACTTTACTAAAAAAATTGATTGCTTCCTTAAATATATACAGGGGTATCAAAAATTGCTGGTCTATTTTAACTATTTATTTTACATAAAAACTTCGTTATTTCAAATGCAACACTATGTATTTTTTTAAATAAGTCGAAGCAGATTTAAATACTTTTTCAAACTATATTAGGGTTTCCTATACCTATCTGGCTCAGATTTTGAATAAAAAGCGATTTTTCAATAAAACAGTAACCAAGATGACTGGTGTCGCCATGGCAATTTTCTTGTAATACTTAGTAGCTATTTTCAAAATCGACATTAGTTTATGGACTTTATTTAAATTTATAACAGTTTACATTTTATTTAATTTACCTACAACAATTCAATAAGTAAGCATTTATTATTTTGTCAAGAGAAATAAAGAAGTAGTTCTTTGATTTATATTACGATGATTTGTAGGTATATTGGATTTTCTATAAAAGAACCAATTAAGGCAAATTCATTTTTTTCACATCCAACGACAGGTTTCTGCCTGATAGATTTTGCATCAGCTCTGCGAAATCGGAAAAAGTAGTTTTTCAAAGGAACGCTTATCAGGAAGATTCCTATTTGAATATCTTTGAGCATAAACCCTTCAGGCCAACAAGCAATAATTGAGCGTCCGGATTGCACAACGACCTTAGCGCGTGGCCGCCGGCAGCCCAGTAGGCAAGCGAGACATCAACGCTTTGCTGCGGGCCGATTTAACAAAATAAATAATTTTAAAACTGCCGTCATTTTGTTAATAATTATCGTATCGTGCTGATTTTTGCATAGAAATACTCATGAGTCTTTAGCGCTTCCGACAAGCCTAAATAACTGGATTATATTTTATATTTTCGATTTGTTTACCTTGCCCGAGTATATTATAACTTTGAGATAAAAATCTCTGTTATAAATTTTAAAACTGACAATTATGAATACTATCATTTAATTAGTTATACATTTAGTTACAACATATTGAAAATTTAGGTCTATCGGTTTATGCTAGCGGTAATAACGAGTATAAATAAAAAAATGGTCAGTACAACGCTCGCCGTTTTTAGCGCACGTTCAGTTTTGGGTTTAGTTTTAGCGCTATTTTTACAGAAAATAAATTCTGAACTTTGATCAAATCACAAGAACATTATCATTGCCAATATCTCCTGGTTATAATGTAGTTCTTTTTTTTTAAATATTGCATTGGTTTAGCTTAAAAAAACTTGAATTATGCTGCTTTTTTGCGAGAGCTACCGGAGCTGCGTTAATAAAGAGATGGATATGTATGTCAATAATAGCCACAATAGACTGTAATTTTACCTCGTAACGAGATTTTTTGGAAATATTGCACTTCCATTTATCCAGATTTCTACTAACTTTTGACCTTTCTTTTCGGCCGCATTTCCCTCTATTTAATAATAAATAATCTAAAAAACGCACAAATACTACTGGTAGTAAACAAGCTGTGGCAAAAATTTTCTATACTCAGTGTAAACAAAAGTCTATCGCAAATACTGTCTTTCGATTGACGTACATAGCCATCTCTTTATTAACGCAGCGCCGGTAGCTCTCGCAAAAAAGCCGCATAATTCAACTTTTTTTTAAGCTAAAACAATACAATATTTTGAAAAAAGAACTACATTATAACCAGGAGATATCGACAATGATAATGTTCTTGTCATTTGATCAAGGTTCATAATTTATTTTATGTATGTAAAAATAGCGCTAAAACTAAAACCAAAGCTGAACGTGCGCTAAAAACGGCGAGCGTTGTATTGACCATTTTTTTAATTTATACTCGTTATTACTGCTAGCATAAACCGATAGACCTAAATTTTGAATATGTTGTAACTAAATGTATAACTAATTAAATGATACTATTCATATCTGTGAGTTTTAAAATTTATAACAGAGATTTTTATCTCAATGTTATAATATGCACGGGCAATGTAAACAAATCGAAAATATAAAAAATAATCCAGTTATTTAGGCTTGTCGGAAGCGCTAAAGACTCATGAGTATTTCTATACAAAAATCAGCACGATACGATAATTATTAACAAAATGACGGCAGTTTTAAAATTATTTATTTTGTTAAATCGGCGCGCAGCAAAGCGTTGATGTCTCGCTTGCCTACTGGGCTGCCCGCGGCCACGCGCTAAGGTCGTTGTGCAATCCGGACGCTCAATTGTCCTCACAAAATAAAATCGCTAGTAACATAGGCATTCCTTCCGCCAGCAGATACTGCTTCATTTTTCTTGATAAAATAATAAATACTTTCCTATTAATATTATTGTAGGTACATAATAAAAATAACCTGTTATAAATTTAAATAAAGTCCATAAACTAATGTCAATTTTAAAACAGCTACTATATGTCACTAGAAAATTGCCATGCCGACACCAGCCATCTTGATTACAATTTTATCGCTTTTTATTCAAAAATCGCATTTTATTAAAAAGCTGAGCCAGATAGGTATAGGAAACCCTAATATAATTTGAAAGAGCATTTAAATTTGCTTCGATCGAAAAAAAAATGTAGTGTTGCATTTGAAATAACGAAGTTTTTATGTAAAATAAATAGTTAAAATAGACCAGCAAGATTAAGCATTTTGTGATATAAATGTATACGAACTTTTCTACACATTTTTATCTGCGGAATATGCTGCCGAAGTTTCCCGAATACAATTCGGACCACCCTGAATATCTATACAGGGTGTCAAAAAATACTGTATCTAACTTCGGTGGGTGATTTTACAAATAAAAATAAAACAAATATAGTTCCTATGAACATATGCCTTAAAATGCGTCCCGAAGAATTTACAGCCCTCGAAAGATTAAATAAAAATAATATATTTTGTTTATTTTTAAGAACATTACTGGCAAACCGTTTTTCTTGAAATTTGGTACTCTTACGCTCATTTTAATGCCAAAGCGAATGGCGATAGTGTACAATTCCGTAACAGTCCTAGGGTAGAAAGAAGAAAGAAGAAATTTTAGCTTTCAAGCCGCATCAGCATCAAAGGCTATTTAGCGGCGTATCATCTGCTACTTTAGTTCGGTAGTATATTTGACAAAAAGTAAAAACTAAACAACACGTTTATAGACAGATTGTATATGTTAACAGTACAGACATTGATTTTGTAAAAATAAAGTAAATGGTACAGAACAACATAGAATAAAACAATAAAACGTAAAAATATGTACAATTTAATTAGTAATTGGTTGCTTTATACCAAAATGTAGCTTTTTAGATATTTTAGATATATACAGGGTGTTTCAAAACAAATGCGAAAAACTTCAGGGGGTGATTCCTTGTTCAAAATAAAGGGTAGTTTGCTTTATAAACGTTGGGTCAAAAGTCAACCATTAGGGAGATATCGCGGTACAAAGATGGCGGAAAAATAATGTTTTTATTTTTTATCTTGAAAACGAAAAGAGATAGACTAATGTTTTTCACTTTTTATCGAGGTTGAATACTTCATCATTCTATTACTTAAAGAGTCTTATCAAACACATGCAAAAATTAATTTTGATAGTTTAGTTTATTTAGAAACTTTTTTATCTCTTGTGTTTTTTTGATAAAACTCACCGATTTGAAATTAAAAAATAAAATGTAAAGCATTACATGTCAGGACAAACAACATTTTT